CCAAAAGCATTTTTTGTTCTTTTGTAACTTGTAAGCAACAATAAGTTAAAAAAAAATTATAGGAAAGAGTTCAATATTAAGAATAAAAATAATAAAATAGAGAACAAAAAAGATGAGTATCAGGTAAATAATAATATCGAATCAAATTTTAAGGAAACACAATTTCCCACTTAAGGAAATTATTCCCAAAAAATATTTCATTCCCTTAAAAAAGTGGGAAAATTAGCGGTCATTTTGTTTTTTTTTTTTAATATACTTCTTTCATTTAAAAAAAATAAAAATTAAAGTACATATAATTTTTTTTATAATATATATAAGTATTTTTTTTTTAAAATTTGGGGACCCCTAAAAGTATGGGGCCCCAAGTGATGGCTTTAGTGGCCTAGTGATTAAGACGTCCTGTTCAACCCATTGACTATATGTTATATTACTACTATTTTTTAATATACATATTTGGTTTAATTATATAAAATATTTACAGTGCTAAATTTTCTTTTAGAAATTTCCAATGTGACCAGACTTGAAATCTTTTGAAAGATTAAAGGCAAAAAAATAAATAAAAAATCAATTAAAACGTCAAAAAGTGTTATCAATAACACATAGAGCTAGAGGGGTATTAACCAATTTTAGAAGAAGAAAAAAAGATATAGATTTAAATTTATAACTTTACTCATAGTTACAACCAATCATGATCACATTATATATTTATATTATACTTTGAAGGTAGGTTGACACATCTATGTATTATTTTAAAAAATATAACACTACTTTAAAAAATATAACACTACTACAATATGTAAGCATCCGTTTATGTGAACCGAGCATGGTTGGGGACATACACCTTTGTGCTTATTATTCTAACTTCTGGCCAGTGTATGATGTAATTCTATAAATAGCTGAATCACTTAATTATCTAACACCACTTAATAGGAAATTAAAACTCTTTTAGCTTTCTCACGTACAGCAATTGGTATATATATGGCGAAAGAAACAAATGGATTTGCAAGATTAAACCATGTAGGAGAGGAAGAAGTTCAAGCGGATATATGGAGATGCATATCTGGTTTCACTGAAATGGCTGTCGCCAAATGTGCTATTGAATTGGGGATTTCTGATTTCTTGGAAACCCATCAAGAACCTGTTCCCTTAAACCAATTGTCCTCTGCACTAGGCTGCTCTGCTTCTTCCCTGCATCGGATCCTGAGGTTTTTGATAAACAGGGGAATATTCAAATTGGTGCCAATTGAAAATGGCGAAATGGGTTATGTACAAACACCTGTTTCTCGTCTGCTGAAAAGAGATGGAGAAAATAGCATGGCTGCACTTGTCTTGCTTGAAAGTAGCCCAGTTATGCTTGCCCCATGGCAATACCTCAGTGCCCGCGTTTTGTCAAATGGTACGTTGATGAATTGTGTGATCATCTTATTTACGACTTTTAATTATTTAATTAGACGACAGAAAATACTGGAGCATTTAGTGCGGCTCACGGAAAGGACGTGTGGGAGTATGCGAAAACCAATCCGGAGCATAGCAAGCTGATCAACGACGCACTGGCATGTCATGCGAGGGTGACAATGCATGCAATTATCAATAATTGTGCGGAGATATTCAAAGGGATAGAGTCATTGGTGGATGTTGGTGGAGGTAATGGAACAACTCTTGGTATGTTGGTGAAGGCATTTCCATGGATAAATGGGATCAACTTTGATCTCCCTCATGTTGTGTCTGTTGCTCCTCCTTGTCATGGTGTTGTACATGTTGAAGGGGATATGTTTCATTCTGTTCCCAAAGCTCAGGCTGTTTTCCTCATGGTAAGTTGGGTAAATTAATTAAAATATTTATCTTATAATAATAAGCTGATCAAACTAACTTATAACATATTTCGATTTATTTATATTTTTTTCTTGGGTGATTGGTGAATATTAGTCGGTCTTACATGACTGGGGTGATGAGGAATGCATTCAAATCTTGAAAAAGTGCATAGAGGCTAGTCCAAAAGACACGGGAAAAGTTATAATTGTGGAGGCAGTTCTTGATGAAAAAATAGACAAAGGAAAAAGGCTCAAGGATGTTGGTATCATGTTAGATATGATAATGATGGCTCACACAACTAATGGCAAAGAGAGAACTGCAAAAGAATGGGCTCATATTCTGAGTGCAGCTGGATTCAGTAGGCACTCTATTCTGCAAATTCCTGCTATTGAACCTGTTATTCTGGCTTATCCTTGAGTTTGGATCTTCTCTTTTGTTTTATTGTTATTTTGTGGTGTTGTTGAATATTGTCGTGTCAGTCAATCTATCAAATTGCTTGTCGAATGTTATTATTTGAACCAATCTCCATTTTTAATATCCGAACCCAAAATCTCATGAAAAATCTAGTTATTATAATAATCAAAATGCTTAACAAACATGTCAAAGAAAAAGCATACAAGGTTCTTTTTGAGTCACTTACTATTTACTAATGAAACAAAAATAGCGATGTATATGTAAACCCTTAGGGTGTGTTTGGTACGAAGAAAAACATTTCTAATTTTCTTATTTTGGTTGGGTAAAATGTTTTGGAAAATATTTTCCAAATCAACTCATTTTCCTCAAATTTAAGGAAAATGACGTCCCTTCAAAAATTAAGGAAACCATTTTCCAAAATTTTCCTCCAACTTCAAATTACAATGTTTTTGTTGAAAAAATAAATTTAAAGCTTGTTTTAAAAAAAAAATTTCAACTTGCACCAATAACTTTAAAATATCAAAAATAATGGTTTTCGAAAAAAAAATCAATTTTTTTTTTCGTAAATGACCGAAAAATATGAAAAATTTTCCGACTTGCACCAATGACTTTAAAATATAAAAAATAATGGTCCCACTCTCCCCCTCCCCAAAAAAAATATTAAGTTTATCTTTAAAACGAATTGTAATAGAAGTGTAGTTTCAAATTGAACTTCATCACTCTAGTATGTTGGTTTTATAAAATCACCCAACAAACTGAATAGTTTTGTGTAATATTTTTCCCTTTCAAGTATATATAAATTTAGGGTTGTTCATGGTTATGGTTATAAAACCAAATCGAACCGCAATCCAAACAATACCGATTAAAAAAATTGATATTTGGTTTGTTTTGGTTAGGTTTGATTTTAAATTATGAAAAACCGATATTATTTGGTTTGGTTTTGATTTTGGTTTTGGTTTTACTAAAAATTAATTGCAAAAATAACCAAACCGAACCGAAAAGTTACATGTATAAATTTTATAATTATTTATAAATAAAATATAAGTATTTTGATAAATTTTTAATTAACTTAAGTCTTTAATTTTACTATTTTCTGAAGCCCGACACTTAAATTTTAGCCCAACTATTAAAACCTTAAGTCTAAATCTCTCAGTATTCATTACTTTAAAGATCACACTTTCTCTGTTCTTTATAAAATTTTCTAACTCGACATTAAATTATTTAAAGCTCAAGCTAAAGAAGATGGTAATTGATTAGTTTTGACTATGAATTATTGGTTGTTTTTTTAGAAGTAATTTCTCAATATTTTAAGGTGTAATTTTATTGAAAAGTCTATTGATAAGATGTTGAGCTCTCTACAATATTAAACCAACTTTATGCTATTAATAATGGGTTTTTTAGTTTCTGAAACTTGGTACATTGGATGAATCCTTTTGTTCGTGTAATAGCTTATTTGTGAATTATCCATGTACTAAGTGTTTGTGTCTATCCATGAATTGACACAACTATTAAGAAAACAATGATTGATATAGTGAGTTTACTATTTTACTCCTATTAATTATGAAGTAGATGAATTAAAAACTTAAGATTTCAAAAAATTCTACCTTTTTCAAAGTAATTAATTGAGGGTATAATAGGTAAAAAGAATTATCATTTCTTCATTTGTCAAAATGGACAAGTAATTAGAAACAACTAAAAAATGAAAAATGAACGAGATATAGGGACAGAGGGAATATATGTAAACCCTTAAGCACGAATTTTACTCGTCGGCGGGTCCAATACGACTGATTACAAATTTTAGATTAATTATTTGCATATAGAGAAAATTAAGTTTTCATTACTATTTTGCTTGTTTTCTTAAAAAAAATATTTACAAGAATATTATATAGCATTTTGACCAACATTTTGTTTGTCTCAACTAAATATTTTGCATAAATAAAATACTCTAATAAAGTTACTTTAACTCAGAAATATTTTTAAATATTATTTTTATCATTCGTGGGGATATTCTTTTTTTTTGTAAGTTGTAAGACACTCGAGATCTAATATTTGATTTATTTTCCACTATGGTATGATGGCATAAATTTATTAGGATTCATATATACTTTATTTGTTTGATCGAATTGAACAAAGTGGAATACTCATTTTTTAAGGGAGTTAGAAATCATATCGTACCTCTTGTATGTTTGTTTTTTTCAATCTCTTCTTAACCCAAGTAATTCAAAGTTACAATCACTCTTGTACATCTAATTAAGGAACTGCTTCCAACAGTCCCTGTCTCTATCATTGTGTCTACTCTTTTTCAATGAATCTACATTCTACTGCATCAATTTAGTTTCGTTACAACACAAAGTAACACCCACTATAATCAACTAAGAACGTAAAAATCTTGTACTGAAATCACGCAAATAAACTAACTATTATATATAACTTAAGAACGGTATAGATAAGCTACGAAAGTCCAACATATAATATATACTAAATGGGTATGGCCCGTGCTAGAGCACGGGCCCAACACTATCAAATTAAATTGTTGTTCTAACTATAGAGTAAGCAATTCCACAACTTCTCATCAATAATTTTACATGCATTTTATCGAATTAGAAGTAGTGAACGAATTTCACTAAAGAAAAGCAAATGATTAATGAAGAAGCATCAATATCTAATAAGAAAAATGTATATATATAAAGAATTTTAAATAGTTGAGTCCTTTGTAGTGGAACTATTTTACTACCCACACTTTATGAAGTCAAGTTACTATCCAAAATTAATTGTTCAGCTGAACCATCATCAAATATTGTTATAAACATATAAGGTTTATTTGTATCTTCAAATACAACACAAACATAGTCTAATTCAATATTTACAATAAGCTGGAGCTAGATTCCTAAGCTTAGTAGTCAATCCTCTGCATCCCAATAACTACAACGTAGAAGATCTGGAGGTACCTAGAAAATCAAGCGAATATATATCAACTAATACTAACTGCCACTTATTTAAAAAAAATTGACATCAAAATATTTCATTTAAGCTTCGGATTCATCGGCTCTGGATTATGAATTTGAACTAAAGAGCTATTCAGCTCATGAAGAAAATATAACAAAGTAATTGATATTCATTTGACTTGTTACATTCTTGCCCTATTCACTTTCTCAAACACATGACATATGCTCCCAAGGTTTCTGATTATAATAACTTTGTTACATGCAAGGTAGTAAATAACTATAAAAGAAAGTCTAGTGCAAATAAGAATTTCTTAAATTATAAGAGAGAATACACTTATTAAAGAGTTATTAAATATTTGAATTCTTAGTCTTACCAAAAATCACAGAATTGACAATTCATGTTTTCATTGATTCTCTCTTCTTTTAAGATCACTTGGAATGAAAAATAATCAATTTTAGAATAGAAATTTTTTCAACAACTATTTTACCAAATTTCAGAGGACTACAGTAGAACGGGGTCCAGTACTAACAAAAACATGCTCACATGTTTATTTCTCATATCCAAATGGACATTGGGATTCACACAACAAAGGGAAAAAATACACGTAATGAAAATGACACCATCTCATAAATCATAACAACACTATATACAAAGCATTTGAAATAGTGGCCTTTCATAATTATCAAGTGTCAGAATAAAATGAAAAATCAAATCCAAATAGATGTTAATATCTACTAAAATCGACTAATCTCATTTGGTTAAAGTCAAGAGTTAATTAAGGTAATCTAACAGAAAGAAGCATACTGACTTACCTGTAAATCGGTCACTGAGGCAGCAAAAACCTTAAATAAGTAGCACACATTTTCTCTAGTTCATCCTCCGTGGTATCGAATGATTGATCATGATCCTGATACTGAGTGAGACTGTTCCATTAATCTAAGAACCTAGTAATGTTTTGTTTCCAGTAACTAAAAAATCCAAAATAAGGAAGACACATAAAAACTGTCAGAATTGTAAGGAAAGAAGAAAGTCTAAGTTGCATTATATTTCAAGGCTCAAGTTTATCAATTCAAAAGACAGGGAAACAAACAAATATTGAGTTTTTCCGACCAATTTGCACAAAAAAAAGACTGAAACAATGAAATTAATACATCTTGATTTTCTTTACTCATCCAATGCCGCAACAAAGTCCTCAGTCCTGCTCAAACCCACCAAAGCAAAAATCAACTTTTGGCTTTTACCAAATTCAATTACAATACTACGAAAGATACACTAAAAAGCCATTGTCTCTTATCAACGAAAACCATGAAGTACCAATATCATTCTCAACATAACCACAAAATATTTAGTTGATCAAAAACAAAACAAAAAAAACTCTCTCAAGTAGGTTAGCTGACACTTGATAGGCTCGTAAAGGGGATAAATTTTACTATAATTTATTACGAAAAATGAGAAGTTCTTCCAACTATTAGTAATAACTACTATAAATCTAATATCACTCTCAACTTGACTTAGCATTAACTATACATAAGAGACCATTTAACATACTATTTTAATCACTATAATTCATACTTCGAAACAAATTAAAGATGGTGGATTTAAATAACTTGTTGAGTTGTAAAATTTCTTTCCGAGAGTCTTGCTGTTCTAAAAAAGAATCAATCTAGACAAAGCTGAAAAATTCCAGACTACACATTATATATTTGTATATAGAGCCTAATAAAGATACTAAAGAAGCATGACAAAGGCGATAGCAAAATATGCTAGGAGAAAGGATATACACAAAAACATATTTAAAACATTGACAGGTCATTATTTAGAAACTCTAAACATCTCAGACGTTAGTGCTCATGGCTCCAAGAACCTCAAACTTCTTAGCAATGGATAGAAAATATATTTTTAATAAATATGTTGCACTATTAATAGCTTCTAACTGGACATAACAGGTGATTTCTCAGGTGCTTAATCTTAAATAGTTGCATAACGTGCAAATTAAAGCTTGCATCTCAAATGATAAGAGCAAGAGATGATTTGGACAACTATACTATGTTATGCCTTCTAGTAGGAAATTCTCTTTGCAGAAAATCTTCGGGTAGCAAGAGCTTGCGATAGTCAAACTGCCTAACCAGCTGATCGATTCAAGGTTGAACCCTATCTCTTTTCTTTGATTTTGACAGAGTTTGTGGATCCCGATGACTATCGGGGTGAGAAATATTTACCCGACTGCAAATGATTTAAGAAATTAGCAGTTCCCTTAAGACAGGGCCATAATTTCATAAGTGTGTTTCAACACTAAAAATCTTATGTACTGGACCTATCAAGCTTAAATGTTGCATCCGCTTTCATTCACAATAAATATTTCATATCACACATATCAACTTATTTCCATCATATTTACACACTAATGTGACATTAGTTGAAGCAAACATGTCTTATAGAAGAGAAATAATTAAATTTTACCAAAGTCTCTTTGTCATTCTGTATAGCGATAACAGAGAAAGCAACCTCGGGTTTGATCTTGCTCTCCTCCTTCTCCGGTTTCAAACTTCTTAACAACTGATTAACCCAGAGATTGTTGTATAAACTCCCTCTGAGCTGCTCGCCAAAATACCTCTCTCCATTGTTAAAGATGCTAGCACTCACCCTCCCCAAACATACGCTTCTGTAGACAATCAAGACATCAAGCTTACAATATTATGACTTATCAATGAATTCAAATCAAGTAAATATACTCTAATCCCAAAAACCTGGAAAACTATAGCTAATCTCTAAGCAAGCAAGAAAAATATAGAATACATAAAGAAAATATAACTAATTAAATATATGGTTAGTGACCATATTCAAATAGCATGTTTGAAAAACTCAGCATGAAATTTTCATCACTGAACTATCTAATTGTGTTTCATTTTTTTCGTTATAAGATCATGAATTTAAATGTGTGTGCTCTAAAATATACCAAGTCAATCTCATTTGCAACTACAAACGTGAACATATATATTCTCATTAGACTATTTTAACTGGTTGTATATGTTGACTATACAGTACGATTCTTCTACTCTTCTGAGTAACAATCTCTCTGTGTTATCATTTAGTGGAATGTATGCACAAGATGACTTAAAGATGAAGAGATATTTATCGTGTTACCTATAAAAGGAGATATCTAATAATCAAATTAATACAATAAAACTTCTTTTAATATGTAGAAAATTAGCTCCCACTGGATATCATCCTTACAGTCTTGTTACTTGTCTATTTTAAAAAAATAAATGTAGACCACCAAGTGGAACAGCAAAAGTTGAAAATGAAATATTATTGTTAAATTCAGCTTACTTTAGCTTGGGTTAAAGCTTGATGAACTCCATTAATGGAGAATTCTTCAATATATACATATATATATATATATATATACAGAAATTGGAAACTGCCTAGGATCTCATTATCGTGAAAATTGGTCAAAGAGTCCTACAGATCATCTATTTATAGAAAGAGAAGGAAATATCTGCCTAACTAACTTGATTCTGCAACTATACACAGCTGGAAATAATGAGATAAAATATCTAATTAACTCATAACAGACTATAACTAATTTGGAAGCAGCGCGAATAGTCCCAACACATATAGTACCTCAAGTCTTGAATGGTAGCCCTAGAATGATCTATATGAAGATAAATTGACTTTCTTATTAAAGTGTTTACTCATTTGATGATCAATTCTATTATGTTACAATCCAAAAAGGAGAATGACAACAGGAAACTCTGAATAAGTTAACTGAGGCATATTGTCAAACAACTTGGATGCACAATCCACTTTAAATTTAAGTTATCTTTAAAATTTTAGATTTTTGTAAGACATCTAACTTTATAGAAATAAATTGAGTACAAGGACAAAATTCATTAAAGAAACACAAAGCATGTGCGAATCAGGCAATTAAACATGCATGAAGAAATCTTAGCTAGAAATTGTATGCAAAATATAAGAAACTAAGATACACATACCAAATGATGATTCCTATATTCAAAAGTTATATTAAGAAAAAACCAACCTATATTCATCAAAGTTAGGCTGAATCTCAAAGATTTGAAGAGAGCAATAGCATGAAAATTGGGAAGAAAAAATATCAAAGCAAACATCACAGTGAAGTAAGAAGAGATAAAATGAAATACGGACCAGAGAGTATAGGGTCCTATAATTCTCTATCTAGGATACATTACACGTGTTTCATAGAGTGCACGTGTCTCACAATGGTGTTGAACTTCAGTCTACAATTTAAACAGCTTCCCCTAAATTTAATGGTAAAATTACACAATTGTCCTTGTTAAGTACAGTAAAATATATATATAATAAAACAAAGACACGTGGGGCCTTAAAAGAAATTACACGCCAAGTTATAATTAATACTTATGTATCATCAATGCTAGTACAATACTTTTTGAATAAAGTGGGCCCTAACATAGTACGACTGAGATGCTAATACAATAGTTATTGAATAAAGTGAGTCCTAACATAATATAACTTAAATTACATTAGGAACAACTTTTTGGAGCTGTGTTCGTCCTTCACAACTCCCTCTTCAAATAAGGGTAATTTCTATTTTATAGAAAGATGAAGAACAGGATGACCACAACATAGTTTGATTGTACATTGTGTAGCCAAAGTTGGACATAGGTCTATTCTTTGTTATTTAGAACAAAACCAAGGGTATTTTCATATTTTTCACATGTTCTTTCTTCAATTACTCTGTTTCTCGATGATTCTCCAATTTTCTTTAACCCTCCCTTTCAGTCTCCCCTATTTTTCCAAATTAAATCATTTGATTAGCTTTCAAAATTCAGGAGAAGCTTCTCAACCATACTTTGAAACACCTACTCGAATTAATCAGCAAAAAATTCATCCATATATCGAAGATTCAAGTTTTCTTTACTAGGTGGTACATACATTCGACTTGTAAAAAGTTAAGAGAAAAAGACAAATAGTTCTGGAAAAATTTGATATATTCCACCAGTAATGCGCAAAAAGACCTTGCAGAATCTTTGCTCCTTAGTTTTCTGCTTTAGTAAACCTCATTCAATTAATTCTACAACTTTGAAGATGTGTAAGAAGTTTAGGAACAAGAAGATCCAGATTTTCTCAAGTATCCAACGCCACCCGCGTTAGAGGTAATTAACGGTTAGACCCCTTTCTGTAATTATTTCTTTGTGTGCATTTTTCTGAAATAGTAAGATGCTATTTCATAAAGGAGAAGCAATCTTGGATGTCAGATGAAGAGTTTGTAAGAAAGATGCTAGCTGGATTAACTTCTGAGTGCATTTTGTGCTTATTTTTATTTAAGCAACAAAAAATTTGAATTTTGCTTCAACATATTGTTCAATCAATTGTCTCATTTGGCCAAGTTTGAGATCTACTGATTTTTATAAC